CCCGGCTCAGACTCGTTCACCACGATTTGGGGTGCCTTCGATTTCCGAGAAAACCGACACCGACAGCGCCATATGAAGCATCTTCATTCGTTGAGTCTCCGCCTGACGTTCATCAATTTATCTCGGAGGAAAACATGAAGAGAGCCCCCTGTGTTGACGGAGAAGAGAGGCATTGATGACCGAGAGGTATCACGGCTCTTAATACGAGGACGCAATCTCATTCGGACGATGCGCCATCACGTAGCCTCTTGAACTCATTTCCCAGGCGCAAAATCGCCGAAAATGTAGAGTTTCCCTCCAGACACCCGGAATTTCGGGAGATTCACGCTTCCCAATGCGTCAGCGAGAGATCTACTCCGCATATGGCACTCATCCGCTGCGGAGCCCTCGCCGGTATCCGTACTGCACGTAGTTGCAGCCTGGAGACTCCTACGGGTTTTTCGCTCGTTGTCAAGACTCGGTCTCGTATGGTATGGTATGGTATTTATTGATCCTCTCGAGCCTATATATACATATAGGCTTGAGACCCTGTTTCAGGGGCGATTTCTCAGCAGATCGTCATCTCTCTCTCCCATGGAATCCGTAGAGAGGCGGAGCACTCGGAAATTCGATCTCAGCAAGCCTCAACCCGTTGAGAGAGGATGACTCCTGGATTGAATGCGTTTCCATTTTATGGGTTTCATGCATCTTCGCGACCCGACCCATACTTCGAATGTGGTTCTTGTCTCGAATGTTCCCCGACTGAATAAGTAGGGATGGGGAGTGGCTGTTTGGGATCACGCGAACCGATGTTTCGAACTGTCCATTGAGAACTGTCTAGTTTCTGATCGGCCGCCCTTCAGAGCTCTTGCGAGCTTCGGCCTGAGCGCCGTGATTCAGCAGGCGCGAAGTGCGGAGTTCTAGCCTGTCCTTCGACCGGTAAAAAATTGCTATCTATTGAAGCGGCGCTGCTGTCGCCGAGTCATCCCCCTATATAATAAAAGCACTATGTCTGTCTGACACCGGACCACTTTTTAGCGCTCTCCACCTACGAACGGACCCCAAATTTACCCGATCGATGCACAATCACTCCAGTGAGGTCGAGTCATACTTTTCTAACTGCTTAACCGCATGTTTTCCGTGAAATTCACGTGTTTCTCCAGTGATCGTTGTTTTTCACGAAATGCAAAGCCGCTTCTATGATGTCATCAGTACTCATCATCTATAGCTCGCATACCCTTCCCCTTGGACAACGAAAAGCAACACTCGATTTTCTTAAGGCTGTGGGGGCGCGAAGCGCCCTCACGGCTAGTCCTCTATAAAAGGTTGCTCGAGTTCAGAATAAATTAGTCCATCACTACCGGTCTTCGTTATTCCGCTACACTATGCATCCGGCTTGCCCTCGGCCCCCTTCCATATTCTTCATCATAATCAAATACTTTTATTTGCGTACATTGTACAATATCGCTTATGCGCTCGCTAGTGTGTCAAGACCGGGTCCCGACTGACAACTCATTGCATGGGATCTTGGGCTTCCTTGTTTACAGTATTTACAGATACATTCCTCGGTCGGAAGGTGAAACCCGACCGTTACACAGAGCATGTGATGATATCCGTGCACGAGGTATCTGGCGAAGACATGTCTCTTCGGACACAGCGGTTCGGTCCAGCGGATCCTGCGCTCCGGGATGGGATCTCCGTCCAAATCAGACACGGCTGCCCTCCTCTTCGCCGCCCACTGACTGTCAAAGTCCGTGGAGGCCGTGGTCCGATCAGTCCCTTTCCATAATCTGCCCGAGCTCTAGGTTGGTCTTGACGAGCACTCCAGTGAGATCTCCAGTCTCTCCCTCCACATTGGTAGGCTTTCCAAATCGTCCGCCGCCCAAGATTTCAGGAAAGTGATTCGTTTCCCTCTCCGCACAAGCCCGAAAGCGGAGCTTGGTTGCACATGGTTAGAGAAACCTCGGGTCTGGGACGCCCATCCGCCTTGTCCAAGGTAATACGGAGGATATCCCGCTCGGCCCCATGAGCGAATCGTTTGCTCGATGAGGCGCAGAAGAGAGACCCTGATTAATGAGAGCCATGCGACCCGTCGAACTCCAACTTATTCGCGAAATTCGGTTCTCATGGGAGGCAGTCAGGGTGAAGCAAGCTTATGCTCCTCCCTGACTGACATTGTGAGAGTCTATCCGAGCTGCGCTGCGGAAGTTTCATGTGAATTCCTAAGAATCGGGAAGGGGTGGGAGTGAAGCTCATGAACAAGAGAAATTTACTCCGATTGCCTTCATAAATATCGGTGCCGCTCGGAATCGACTCTGGACAAATCTTTCTTCGATGGGGATCACCCGGTCCGAAAAATCTAAGATCGACTCCGAAAGATATCGCAAATGCCTAGAGTCACTCCGGCACCAGCGCCTATTGGGTCGTCTTGACTACGATCACGAATCGCGGTTCGGACAGTCCACATGAAGGACGTATTCATCGATAAGGGGAATGAATTGTAGTGTACGAATTGAAGACTGCCGATCGGGATCGTTATTGAAGCATTCCCGCAGACCTGCTCCCCCCTGATTCCGGGATCGAAGCTCTGCTCGCACCCGTTGGATGACTATTGGTGCCGCAAACAAGCCCGAATTGAAACTCTAATCTGACGCCCATCCATCGTGGATGGCCCTCCACCTCCAGCTCTCCCGCTGTGAGGGTCGCTCAGAGCTGCGTCCCCATCAGCGCCTTCCAAGAGAGCCGCTCGCTCGCATGTCACGAGACTCGGCACGGCTTGGCCACTTTATTCGATTTTTCCACAGCGCTCCTCCGTCTCATGGACCCGGGAGCGTAGCGATTCGAAAGGTCCACTCGACACGTACCCCTCAACGGCACTGTCTTCTGAATCTAATTGAAAGACAAGCCACCGAGCCTCTGAGCGTCATCTCTGGGGCGCCGAAGCGCTCCCGAATAGGTACTCACCCGCCGTCCGAGCGGCAGGAGATGCCGCGAACACATCCCTACGCCTGATCAGGCCGACGGCGATGATCGAGAGAATTCTATATGATCTCATTTCCCGGATTCATTCATCGTTTTCTCGGATGCTTTCATGCTCATTACTCGACGAGATCCCATCGCGTGGAATGATCTGCAGCGGAGCATCCTGGATCCGACAGCTGGGCAGTCCGAGGCACAGTCAGGATAAGAATCTGATTCCAATGTCTTATCGAGCGACCGAGGGCTGCGCTTAAAAAATTCGACGGCAGATACCGACTGTAGCCGTCCCAGGACATCGTCCCAGACATAAGTGTCTCAGAGCGTCTTTATCCATCCTCGACTTGTTGAGAGAAGTTCAGCCCACCACTTGCCATCGAAGATATCTCCGCTTGCGAGCTTAGCTCCACATGCAAGGATGCACACCGATCGATGGCATTGAGCACGTCGATGCCGCCGTGGAAGCTCTCGGTACATGATCTAGTTTGGACGGACGAGTTCCCCATGCGAAGTTCTGCAATGATGTGCGTATTCTCCATGACATCCTCATGCTCCATGATATTCGCTGGAGCTCGAGCCCTTCCGGTTCATCGCGGAGCATTCCAGGGCGAGTGAAATAAACTGAACGCCTACGATTGATATACCGTAAGGTCGCTGACTGCTGTGATAACGGCGATATGATTGTCTCGGCGGGCATTTCCCTTGTTTTTTCCTGTCGCTCAACTCTACACCCGAAGTCCGTCCCGTGGGTGACTCTATAACAGGGATTCCGAAGTTTGCCCGACCTGAACCTCTTGTGAAAGAGATTCCGCAGGGTTTCGCCTCTCCCATGCGGGAACCGGCAAATTCCCGCGGTAGACGACAGTGGAGGATTTTTCGGATTGGAGATCGCAGATTCGGAGGGTATTTTCGGATGGAATCCAAGCAAGGAGACGCGCGCAAAATTTTTCCATCCACATACTAGCTCGGAATTCTGCGACACATATGAGACTCCAGATATGCGAAATGAGCACCACAAGATGTACAGTATAAGCTACCGGGATTTTCCGCCGCTCCAAACTCCAACTCGGAAACAGTTCGGAGCGGTAGCCAGAATATATCCATTATCGGAATTAGCAAAAGCGTAGGCAAATGTCCTGGTTGACGTCAGTCCATAAATGTTCTCTGCAGAGCGTGTTCCGCCTCCTTCTAGATCTGTGCTCGAACAGCATCTGTGCCGGAATTAGAACACCGCTCTCACCCGACGTTCCTCCGGAGGGTTGCTGCTCTCCTGTCCGGAATCAGTGACTCTCGATCGGATTCGGGAATATATCGAACGGGAGAGTCCAGGAAGGGCGAGAGCCAATGAAGTCTCGATATTGATCCTCGTTTTCATAATCCAATTAAGCGTCTCGTGCGCATCGATTCCCCTCTCGATTTCTCGATCTTCTCGCCGTCCATGCGATGACAATGGAGGAACAGTGAAGAGAAGTCAAGAGGCTACAGATGAAACCAACGCTGCCGCTTCCGATCAAGCGCCTCCTAGCGAGCAGACAAAAGTGTATTGAGAACAACTCCACCACCGGCAAGCATATCAGCATCCCAACCGCCAGTCAGTCAGTCAGCCCGCCTGCCTGCCTGCCGCCGCTATAGATCCTTCGAGCTAGCCAGCCGCCTGCCTGCCTGCCTCCTCCTGCACCATCACACTACTCCACTACAACAGGCGAGCAGCATATCACCGCCACCGCCGCACAGCGCATAGGCAGCGGCCGCGATCACAACAGCAGCACCAGCAGCGGCATCAACCACCAACATCATCATCATCGGCAACAGCAGCAGCAGCAGCATTGGAGGAAGAAGCAGGCGTCTGTCTGGTTTAGCAACACACCACAACAACAATCCAAGACGACGACGACGACCAGGATTGTGTTGTGTGATTGGTGCTGTAAGCTTGCTGTGTGTTGTCTCCGTGTGTAGGATTGATTTTGTCAATCTGTACAAAAGCGCCGCTTGAACTTGCTGCTCAAAGCATCTGTGAAAACCAGTTGGGATTAACGGTTCCACGATCGAATCGATGACATTATCGTAAACGTGTGTTTACACTTGGATGTCAATAGCCTGTTAGAAATAAGCATTCAACACGGCTGGGTACCAATACCTGCAGCCATTGTCTCCGTTGGTTCCTGGTTCGAATCCGCTTCGTACGCGAGGACGTTCGAAAATCACGCTGCCACAGGCGTGTTCGAGACCGTGGGTGTGAGTGTGTGTGACTGAGTGAGTGCGTGTGAGCGTGGAAGCATAAATGCTCATGTGAAAGCACAGCTGTCGGCCGAACTGAGAAAGTTCAATAACTTTTTACATTGCCGGATCAGCCCCGTAGGGGGAATGAGATCAACGTGCCATCTAGATGTGAGTACCAATTTTCCCCTATAGAGATTTTGTCCAATTGAGATCGTAGAGTGGGCGAATACAAAATACCGATCGATTGCGCAATTAATTTCCCTATTGGCTGCTCAGCGTTTCTCCGCGAATTACTGAGTGAGTAACGGAAGGGAAACATACAACATCCCAGATTCGTCATCATCGCGGGCGATAACGCAACAATGAGAACTCGGAATGAAAGCCGCTTCTTTCATCACTTCCCGGTTGCAGAAGGAAGTGCCGATCCGGGAATTTTCTTCGCGTAAACTGAAGTTGTTGAACTTCTTGCGTGATCGGCGATCGCACTATCGATGTCTCGCATCTTTCGACTGTATGAATTCCAGCCGCGTTTCTCGAAAAGATGCCTCCGCTTACGGAACATGGCTCGGTCAATCTTCGAACGAGGGATTCCGATTTGAGTCGTTTCGGACAGTCCGAGAGAAGCCTGGACGATCAGGCGGTAATCGTCTGCCTTGAGGAACCGATCGACCGCTTATCGCTCATCGCATTTTCGCTCAGCGATTCAGTTTCTTTGAAGGCAGATATGAGTGCGTGTCGTACCAGAACTCGACGAGGTTCATTTTCATCAGGCCTGAAAGGCTTTGGCGGAGCGATGACAGGTCAGCAATGAATAGAAGCTGACGATATCAAGCGCTGAGTTTTCCAAGATTTTCTCCCAGAAGGTCCAAGCTTATGATCCCTGGCCTGACAGGAGTTTGTTGCGTTTCTCGCTGACTTCTTAAGATTTATCCGGTCACGATCCTTGTCTTATCGATTCTGTAGCGACTAGAAATGACACAGACGGATTCGGAGTTCATGGATGATTTCGTCACGCTCGTGATGCATGTATGTATCACTCTGGGAGTGCCAGATTCTTTCCTCTTCGCATGCTCCCTCTGTCCCAGATTATTTGATGTACAATCGCGACATGGAAGTGGCTTCGGGAATGTTGACATATCGGCCGCATAGGGTGATTCATAAGGTCGAATCTGTGGACGAACGCTCTTCCCGACCGGCTGAGCATATAGTATTCCACACCTTCTCATTCGGAGAATCGTGCGCTACATGGAAGAGATGACCCATCGAATCAGGACTTCTCCTAGAGAATCAGAGAAATTCGCGCTCCCTTTCCTTAGTCTCCATGGTCCCGATGGGGGTCCTCTCGAATAATTTGCAGCCCCGCTTCAAATGAGGGGTCAGTTCGTTGATTTTGGTATTTAGAACAGCATCACTCGATATTAGCATCCGCGAAACGGAAAAAACATGAACATGAAGAACATGAACGAAACGAAACATTTTCTTTCCAGCATCAAGCTCAAAGATGAGATCGAATCCACTGAGAGGTCCGCTTCAGTCGTAATGAGTTCCAAAGAGCTTTCTTTGAGGATGGACTCCTGCCATGACGTCGTAAGCAATGAGCTCCATCAGCGCGATTTCCTGCTCAATCGATTGAAACGGAGGGTCGATGGCTACAGAGCTCACCATGCGCAGGTTAGTTTTTCCGACACCATTATCTCAGATGCCTCTGCGCAAGTTGTCTGATCACCCTCTGAGATGTGAGAGGTTCATTGATGAAAACTTTCCGACTCGCTCCCGTAGGTTCTCCCGCGGCATCAAGAGTATACGGAGAATCTCAACAGTCTTGGGAGAGATCATACCCAGCAACTCCAGCAGCGATTCCTGGAGTCGAAGTCGAAAAAGTCGAAGAAAGATAAGGGCTCTGTAGCGGCGAGTCAGCCTCGTACAGTTCACCATGCTCACGCAGTCACTCATCAACAGCACCAACAATCGCTACAGTACAGCCAGGAGAGCAATGTTCGTCTCGTGGTGCGTGCGGTTTCGCGAATCCAACTTCAACTTATGTTCGCCTATTAGATACTTTCATTCTGACCGTGTGAGACCAAGCTCTAAATCAGAAACTTTCTTCCCCTCGCAGGGCGCGGTATCTCCGATCTCACAGCATCCACAACCGCAGCAGATGCGTCAAGTTCCGCAGGAGGATCGGCTCACGTCGCCTCTGAATTCCTCAAACGGCACAGCATCGAATTCGGTTGCGGACTCGAGAGACGAGAAGTCGTCGTTCGACGGTCCAATGAAGAGCAACAACGTACCCTTCGCGCACATTAAACAAGAATCGTCCTGCAGAAGCGACGACTGCCGGGAATACAACCACGGCCACAATCAGCAATTCAAGCAAGAACTCCGGAACGCGACAAATTGTGCGCCGCACTCGGCAGATTCGCTTTCTGGCTCATTCAACTTCACGGACGGATCCCTCAATCCCGATATGTTGAGGGATCTAATCGCTGATGTTGCGAAGAACGCCAATGATCTCATGGCTGAATTCACCTTCGACGAAGTCAAGTCCAGTCCGAATCGTCAGGACGCCATGACATCTTCGGAGCAAATGAAACTCCATCATCAGCAACAGAAGCAACAGATGCCGCCGCAGCAGCAGCAACAACAACAACAACCACCTCAGCCACAACAACAACAAAAATCACTTCCGATGTTGAATTGTACAATACCGATGATGACGTCAAATGAAAGTTCGTGCCAAAGTAGCATTTCACCGTTTCGGAATAGTCCCCAAGGGTCTCTACCACCCCTGACGAAACGTGGCCGGTGTACTGAATCACCGAATCAGAGCCACCAGCAGAAGCCGAACGTCATCCCCTCACCTTCCCCTACGGTATCTTCATCCTCTGTGCCTTCGGTCCCCACTCCTCCGCCGTACACAATGATACGAAGTCCGTTAAGTACCATGGCGAACCAGACGTCGAATCCCAATGCCGCGATGATGTCGTCCGAGAACCCGCGACCGAGTCCTAATACACTGGTCGGAGTCACGGCTATACCCGTAGCGACGAGCTCACAGCAAACGCCATCGAGTCAAGCTCAACACGCTGTCTCGCAATCGAAGCTCGTGAACCCGAACGCTGCTCTCAGGACCAGCCCCAATCAAAGTCGATTCGAGAACAAGAACATAGCTCCCACGATAGGATATTCCCAAAGCCAAGCTCAGCCGGGACAACAATCAACGTACATGAATGCACAAGCGCCGCCGGCGAATATGCCACACAACGCCCGGTCCATGGCGATCAACGCTCACTTCCAGGAAATGAACCACAACAATAGAATACAGCAGCAGCAGCAACAACAACAACAACAGCAACTCCAAATGAATCGCCGAGATCTGACGATGACTGCGCAACGCACTCCTGTATTCGCGCAACAAGCTGGAATCATGTGCGCACAACAGCAGCAGCAGCATCTTGAGCTGACCAAATCCCAACCCGCGGCCGCCTATCAGCGACGTTTACCGGTGAACGACAACATGAACCATTCACCGATACACATGCATAACCAACAACAGCAGCATCACATGCAGCATCTGCGGCAGCAGCAGCAGCAACAACAACAACAGCAGCAGCAGCAACAACATCATCGCTTGCATCAGAATGATCCGAAAGTCCTACCGTCGAATGTTCCATCGAACCCCCCATTCGGCGATACTCATGCGTTCAATCCGAATGAATCGCAGAGGACGGCACCGGGCCCACACCCGATAATGCAACAGCAGCAGCAGCAGCAGCATCTTCTCCGACACCCACAGCAGTGCAACCAGTTCCGCCCCATGGGCAGTGATCCGAATCATGCTTACCAAAGTGCGGCCGAGCCGAACTCGAGAGAGCCACCTCCAGGCCTGAGTCAACGGTGAGCTCCACAATCTTTTCCGCTACGAGCTGCACGGGAAAACATTGACGCACCCCAATAAATTGGAGCTCACGAGAATTATTCGACTTTCAGGGTGCAACAAAGGCCGATGTACGCTCAGCAACCCGTGGCAAACCAGTGGCGGTCCTATCCCGAACACTGTTCTCCTACACCTGGCCATCCCATGATGAACATGCAACAGATTCGGAATGGTGGCGCAGGCGTTACCAACAGTGAGTCCTTGTGCATTCCCAGAGACTGCATGACTCGATAATTATCTCTCGAGTCTCAATCGTCATGGAGCTAGAATAATGTGATAATAAGGTTCAATATCTTCCCCCCAGATCCGATGATGATCAATCGTCCCGCTGCGGAAAATCACGATCAAGGAGCGCATGGTGGACAGTTCTTATCTGGACCGATGGAACAGAGGAACTTGGGGAACAGCGGTTCTTCGATCGATTTCAACAACCTGGAGTTCTTGACCGGAGTGGAAACAACGAATGAACTGATGAATTTTGATACAGCTTCAAGTGCCCTTAACATGCTAGATGATGTCTTGGGTCACCAGAATGTTAGCTCTACGTACAAGAATTAGTTGTCAGGAGTGTAAAGCTACGACCCGCTCATAAGTACTAGGTATTCTGAAGTGGAAATTTCTACATTATTTCTTCTATCGTACCGCAACGAGTATAGGTAACAATTTCTACGTAGCTAATAAATTTTACGTACGACATTCGTATGAGATGACTCTCTCTCTCGACAAACAGTCGGTCCGTCTACTGGCTTTCGAAAAACCAACGTCCTCGTATGTAAACATATGAGCACTTTATTTCATCACACTCCTACCTTCCTTTCTCAACATTCATGCCGACGAAAAACCACTCCTCATCATCATCGTCATCGTTTCATTCGTCCATGACCGTCGTCTGAGAGCGGAGGATGTAGCTGGCACTCTCTCCCGCTGTCTTGATCTTCTCCCGATTCCGCTGGTTCAATCATTGTTCTCGCTTTTTGTTTCATTGATCGATAAATATAAAATCCTTATGGTAGTTGACAAACTTGAGGATAAACACAGCGTGATTTTGTAGCCTTCGCTCTATACCGGGACATTTTGACCGGGAAGTCAACTTCCACTCTCTAGCTCATTTCGCTTTGCTCTTCACCAAACCCTCGTATCTGCTCTTCGACGAATGGTACAGGAAGTACGGCAGGAGGATGGAAGGCATCGAGACCAGAGCGAAAACAGCCCAGTCTAAGTAGTGCGGCGAGAAACGGCGTTCGTATTCCACCTCCGGCATGATCCCTCCCTGTCCCGGTTCGGTCGTGAAAGAAATCCTTTCCTGCAAGTCACATTGTCAGATGTGATCACCTTTCTGGTCGAACTAGTCTGAATAGGTCCGTAGAAAAACCGAGGAGCCGACGACTCCTGGCAGCAGAGGACGTATTCTTACCTCTGTGCTGTCCTCGCTGATTCGGTATGTGACCTCGGCGCTTGTGAAGTTGAAGAGACCATACTTATTTGGCCGAACAACCAGAGAGTGGCTCACGTTGGCCCCCGGCAGGATCTTCTCGAATTTCGCATCCAGCGAGCCAGAGACGACATCAAAGTCCGAAGGAGGGAACGTGCGATCCGTGAGCTTCACGTTGAGCGCCGGTGCATCTCCAACGTTGAAAAGCTCATAGTCCACTGAGACGTCCCGATTTTCGACCAGGTATCGGTTGAGCACCTTCTTCAGACTCAATAGACGTGCTTCAGGAAGTTTCTGCTCTTCAGCATATGTGAAGCAAACACACGCTAGCAGAACAAACAGTCTCATCGCTGAAATTTTGAAGAAAAAAGTTCCTCACTCTTCACGAAATGACGTAGGACCGACACTGAGAACGTGCACAACCAATGGATCTGGGGCTTTCCGCTCAAAAAAAGCCAGTCGTGAGCTTTCGTGTCCCAGCCTCAAGTAAAGCATTTCAGGAAAATATCTCACTCAAATCATGTAGGCTATGCATGTTTAGTCAGAGAACGTCAAATATCGAGCCATACATTGTTACAAGCCGGCCGAGATTATCAGGCTGGGACGTTTCCCGGAAAAATGAGAAGAGCGTCTATCGTCCCTCAAGGAAGAGTTCTTACTCACTGGAATTCGAATTGTGGAACCGCAGAGACCAAGACGTGGCTAACGCACCGTTTTATTCCTGTCGCAGTTTGACGAGCAGCGGGGCCGACTTGTGTATCCGCTACTCCGGCTACTGCCAACACACAACATCAGTCAGTCCGGCCTGGCCACGTTGTAGTGAACCCTCTGCTGGAGAGGGGAGCGGATCACCACCGGCAGCTCTTTAGCAGCCCGAATTGAATTGACTCAGCACTCAGCATCGAGCCAGACCGGTGCTGGAGGCTTCCCTTTCGAGGGGTTCAGGCTACGGTTGACTCGACTCAAATGAAAATGTTTTTGCTCGGACACGCAAAGATTGACTGATGTAAGCATCAGTCAATTCGAGAATCTGAGGAGGGGAGAGAGCATCGAGCGCTCGGCTCACGGCAATGCATCCTATCCTGCTTTAGGCAGTTACTCCAAGTTTTTATTTTCCAGAATTCGGTCGGGACTCTATTGAGGATGCTTTCACAAATTCCGAGGGGAGGCCCGCCGCAGAGAAGAGGCAAATACCTTTGGAGCTCGCCCTGAATAAATTCCGGGAGCACCTGCTCGAAGTCTCGGGTCTCTGACTTTGGAAGCTCTTCCGCGCCAGCTCTCCGCGAGATTCCGCATACGGGCGGTCCCCTCATGAGATTCGACAGTAGGGGAAAAGTACCTGTTACGGAACACCTGAGGGAAATCCCCATAAACCCCCATATTATTTGAGGGGGTACCAGTTATGGAACACTCCACGGAAGTTTATGGGGAGCCCCATGTAAAAAGTATAGTTCCATAACTGGTACTTTTCCCCTACATATGTGGAATCGCTTCAATGGTTTGTGCTTATGCCCGCGATTCGGCGGATCCCAGTCGAGAAGGAAAACAATACGGATTTCGAAGGTACATAATGAATTCAACTACATCTTTTCATTGGCATCCACTCCTCAAATAAACATTTATATAGGCACTCATCCCCAAGCAGCTTCTAGAACCAGTTCCCCGGGAGACAATTCGTGTGAGCATGTGATTTACTTTTCTGAGTGAGTCAAATGCCAATGTCTAGACTCGTGCTTTGAACGCACTCCAAGCCGGGGTCACTCTTTCTTTTGCAGCTTGCTGTGCGATCATCTCCTGCTCGGCCAGTTTCCGTTGGTTTTCTCTGAACATCGCCAGCGGATCTTCGAACTGGGAATAGTATTCCAGTACACCTCGGACGTCGTCGACACCTGATTCGGCTATCGTCTTCAGGAAAACAGCGAGATCCATGAGCGTCCTATCGTTCATCTCGCCTTCCCATTTCCGCAAACGAACCGAGTTGTGAGGATTCAGCTTGATTGCATTCTCATCCCAATCCACATGAATCACCTGAAGGGAGCGGAATCGATTTACTGAGCATGCCGAGAATCAACGGATCGAAAGAAGGATTATCTGAAGAGATTTTCCAGCAATCATCTGTATTTACCCTTTTGATTGGCCTATTGAGAGCTTGCAAGTCTTTCATGTGATGTCCGTCTTGATAGCGTGTAGCATCTCTGAATAACCTGTACATGACATAGCCCTGAGGGTCGAGACTGTTGACAATCGGATACGCGGTGTATCCGTTCTCTTTGGTATACACTATAACTTCAAACAACGGTGGACCGACTTGCTGCAAGAAAAAGTCTACCGCCGGTCTCTTTTTGAAACGCCATCCCGTATAGTACGACCATTCCGGATGTACGAGAACCCCCGTGATCTCGAGCGATAGCGTATACGGAGGCTGTATGTACGGCTCCGGTACGGGATCCGGCAGAAGTTTGGTTCTCGAGGGTTCTTCAATGACCTTCTTGAAAGCGAGTGCTTCCTTATAGAATCTGAGGAGGTATTGAGGCAAGATGGAATACTTCGAATATTCATCCTCGATTGGATTGCCCTCATCATCGCGTTTCGGAGCCCCTGGAACAGGTCTGTGAATGAGCCTAGGGAGCTTGCATGAACTGCGTCGAGTTCGGGGAATTCGGGTAGTGTCTCCATGGGTGTCCTCGAGACGGATTTCCGAGGGACTCACCGTATTCTTGGATCAACACAACTCCACCGAGAGCGAATATAGCACCCATAGCGTACGAAGCCTGTCGAACTCTTTTGGCTTTCAGGAGAGTTTCCTCTGACGGAGCTGCATCCTGACTCTGCCATCTTCGTGCTGAAGGTCTCTGGAGAAGACTTTGTCGAACTTTCTGTCCGCGCGGGCTGAGCTGGGAGTGGATCTTGACCGAACTGTGGACACTGTGTATTTTTCTGCAGATCAGCAGATCTCTGACTGAGCCTTGAGCGGAGTGCGAGTCGCGAAGAGGGAGGATTCGCCTCAAAACCACTGGATTTTCTAGCGCGCTCAAAACGCGTGAACGTGCGAAACACACCGCCATGTTTTGCCTCTCGTCTCCACTGAGCAGCATCGGCTGCTGCTACTGGAATGGCGGTCTATTTTAGTGTTCGATTTCGGCAGAAACCGATCTCCGCAGCGAGAAGTTTTTCGCTTCAAGACCGCTCTCTGTTCCCCCTCGTAGGCATTTCATTTGTAAGACTATGTCCTTAAGCGGCGAATTACTCCAGCCGCGTTCGTCTTTCCTGGAGATCGCAGGGGAAGGGACGGCGACAGCAGCCATGCCGTTACTTCGGTCTGCAGACGACATCGTCAGAGCATATACATTGATTGTGAAGCTGGGAACGATGACAAGGGCGTGCGGAGCAATGTTTGGGTTTCGTTCAGGTTCGGGCAGAGTCGGGAAGATCGGAACCGGCTTCCGAATCGCCGATCCAGGAATCTCGGGGACTTTTCGGCGGTTTGTCATGGATGACGGTGATTTTGATCTCTGCTGAAGGGCGGACTTGTCCCGCGGCGACTATCGAGGAGACACATCACTGTGCCCGTCAGGGAGACCATGGTGCTCATCTTGAGTCGGGGACCGCAACTGACAATGAGAGAAACCCTAGCCTGGCCAACGATTTTCTCCGGCTGTCCCCTAGCCTCGGGGAATCGAGGCCTTTATGGGCTGACTCTTACCAGCTGGCCTTGCTAACTCTTGTGACGATCTTCTCTGAGAGAAGCAAAACTGGGGGATTTACGTTGCCTGACCGAATTCACCGGGCAGAATTTCGTATTTCGAGAATCACGGTTATACTCGTACGATCGGCCACTGCCCCGACGACCTCGTGGGGTGCTGAATAGGGGAATCGGTGGAAAGCAATCGTCGAGCCGTCCCCCGCGCGCTGGATGTTGAAAATCTCATAGGATGGTCGGTCCGAGTTCGCGCTGCGTGATAGATGAAGAATCCTTTTTGAGGGAGGCCATGTGGAGCAGAGAGATCTTTCTTCTTTGAGGTTCGAGCGCAGAAGATCATCGAGGGTAGGAGTTCCGGTGACGCTTCCACAATGATGAGGAGCCACCTGAGAGACCTCGATGCCTTCCCTGACAAGATGACCTGATGGTTATAACCATAACCATAAGATCCTCGGACGACAGGAACTCGATCTGGAACCCTACAAATAAGTTCCAGAGGATGGCGTGCGCCCTGGATCGTCATTTTCCTCTAGAAGGGAAAAAGAGAATTGAGAACGCGCACGAAGTGCCTTGAAGACTACGACCTGAGGAATCCACCCATACAGAGCCCTACCGAAACTGTTCAGATGAAATACCTCAAACTAGGAACCGGATGCTCGAGTCGCGAGGGAGGCAAGAATCGGGGCTGGCTCCGTTGTGACACGGGCACTCTCGCAGATCGCCAATGATGCAGGGGTTAGGAAGACGGTGCAGAAATGAAGAGAAAATGGTCGGGAACATCGACCAGATACTCAGCGCTTGGATGTTCGAGTCCTCGGCAGGGCGGCGTACGTGCGAGAGAGCCAAAACGGCTTATTTTCTGAGTGATTTCGTTTTGACAACCATCATCCAACCTAAGTGATAGCCGAAGCTCTGCGGATGTTCCGGTCAGTCGCGTGCGGTATCGTTGCTCTCATCCGCCCGAGCGATCCCGCTTGTCTTCAGCAGAGATCATCTCCTTGGATTCGTGTTCTACGAAACACCGCTGAAAATTCAGTACGCCCCACCGCTCCAGGAGCCCTTCACAGGGCTCTCGAACCCTTCATGTAGCCTCCCAGCTCGCCGTCGGTCTTCTCCAATCCTCGAATTGATCGATCGACCGGTCGCTCGATCCTTCAGTCGAGATTCCGCATGTGTGCGCGGCTCGTACACAGAATAACCACACACTACCGCTGATCTGTGAGCTGCTTCTAAGGTTCTCCCCTCATCATGCTTTCCTCTCTCCTCAATCAGCAACACTTCTAAATTTTCTCTAACGCGTGCTGCGCTTAATAATCTGGAGGCCTCGTGCCCATTATACAGAGTCGTCATATTCCCTGTTGTTCGCGTTCGGATGATCTCTCGCCGGAGTGTTAATCGTGCCTATCGTTGAAGGTCAACCTCCGGAAGAGCACCCCCAATAAGAATCCAGTCTACAGCCCGACCGAAAAGATCCAACAACAACTCAGGTAGGGATTGAGCTAAATTCCATTTACTTCCCGAGGAAAATTCCGAGGAAAGAAAATGAAATCTTGCTCGACTTGGTGATATCCTAGGACGTGCTCCTGGTTCCTATGCTCGGTACGGTTCCTAGTCTTACTGACCGAGTTCGAAAATCTCATCCCCGGAAATCCGCGAGGTTTCGGAAGAGCGAAGCGGCTCCCTGTGCTCTTTCCACCACTCTCCGAGTTCGGTTCCGATGTGGTTTTTCACACTGCTCAAGAGCCGCAAGAATCGAACTGTGGAGAATTATGGTTTCGCATCCGTTTCGCGATGGAGCGGGGGAGGTGGCAAGTGATTCTTCCCGTATCGTAGTCCGCGACCCCTGGAAGCGGCGTCCGCGAGTACCGGAAGCGCCAAGTTATTCCAATAATCACGCTCGATGCTTCCTTGTTTTGAATCACAGCTTCCCTTTCCAGAGCAGCCGCGTGGGGAACCAACTTCCCCCGACGGAAAACACTCGACGTGTGCCGGTAAGACCACACTTGAACCGACCAATCCTCGGACAGAGTGTGGATCATGTTGAATGGGACTTCGAACACAGCCTTGGTTGCTGCCGGCATAGCCGGGACTCTGTTCATAGGTGAGTTCAGAACGGAATCCCACCTGGACCTCGAAGTCCTTCCATCGGAAGATTCCCATCCGCCCCACTGACCAAGCAACGTCTTCTTCTTCTCCTAGGGTACTGCATTTATTTCGATAAAAAACGACGCTCGGATCCGATGTACAAACAGAGAGTACGTGAAAGGAGACTACGGGATTCTAAAGCAAAAAAACGCGGCACCATCATCGCTCCGGATTTCAAGGACGTCGAGGCCGTTCAGAAGTTCTTCTTCCAAGAAATGCAAATCGGTGAAGAACTCTTGAGCCAAGGTGAAATCGAGAGTGCTCTCGAGCATCTCGCAGCCGCTGTCGCCGTCTGCGGCCAGCCGCACCAACTGCTTCAGGTGCTCAAGCAGTCGATTCCTGCTCCGATTTACAACCAACTTGTCAAAAAAATACCTGCTGTGACTCAACAACTGTCGGCTCATATGGAAGAGGACGTAGAGTGATCGATTGACGCTGAGCTTCTGAAAGAGTTGAGTCGCTAGGGCATAGAGTAGTCACGCACCTGATCAGGGACGAATTCTCGACGAATGAACACAACGTTGATGATTTGGGTATGGATGCTTAATCGTTCCGTGTCATCGACTTGTCTCGGACGTTCGTCCTTTCTTATTTCATTGCAAGTTGTTCCGTCTGACTAGATCGAACGGAGGAGTCTTGTTCGTTCTTCCGATCGAGAATCAAAACGTGATGCATTGTTGACCTTGTACAACGATGGGAGACCGTTCGATGAACTCCGAATGTAATAAAATGAGATGGAGAATTCCGCTCGCATACGGTAGAGCTTCGCACTTCCTCTACACATCATCATACGTCTCACCTCGGGACGCCTGCTTCGAGCATCCGTCTCCGGGAAGACTAGAGCCTTGGAAAGTCATCCGATCGGCTTTCTCACGGGCGCGATCGTTTTGGAGACTCCCATACCTTCCAGACGCCTGTGATTCAAACCGCCCCTCCCAAGCTGGCGATCACTCCGAGTGCCTCGGTGTGTCGCCAACCGTTACGTGGCGTCCCGAACGGTACTCGGAGGGTTGACGAGAGTAGGGAGCCTCTGGTTCAAACTCCAATTGATGAACTCGCTCTGGGAGTTTCAGCCAGCATTCTTATCATTCATCATATTCTCTCATCTTGGGAAGCTCCGAATAGCATGGTCTCGAAAAAAGCAAAAAGCTAGGTAGTGTCAATGACATTACCGTAGATTCACGTGAAAACGTTAATCGACGATTTTTCCGGCAAGCAGTCGGCTTGCCGAGGTATCAAATCATGGCAAATAGACCTATCTCTCTATCGGCCCACTGTTCGATTGAATTGGGGTAATAGTTTTCGTGGTAACTAGGTTAGAGCCCACTGATTGCCCGACGGGGCTGCGATATTTAGTCATTCTTCGAGAGATGGTTACCGTGGCTCGAAGGCATCGATACTTCTTCTGGATTCCGTCGGCATAATCATAAAAAACTGCGTCAGCAATCGAGTTTCGGAAATTTTTCTGCTTCACGATTCTGGAATCGGAAGCCACACTGATCTACCCATTGTAGTCCTTGGGCCGCCGAAGTAAGGACTCTCACTGCTGCTTCCTCGACGAACCCGCTATGATTGGAGAATGTTGTTGGTCTTCAGTTCGACGTATAGCGCGTAGTCGTCATCTTCCAGGGAACGCGTACCGGATTCGATCGCGACCGCGGCATTTCTGACAACGGCGACCTTCGGAGCCGGGGCCGAACTCGGCTCTTAGCGAGTCGTCCCATGAAGAGATCCTCCCGATGACAGCCTGAATCTGTTGACACGCGCACTCGCTGAGCTTGAAGGTGCTTCGCCGTGCCGCTTCTGTCGCCAGGAGCTTCTTTAAAGGTTCTCATCTATCGTCGATAAGCTCGATTCGCCTCAGGTTTGAAGAACTACTTGGTGTCCCGTTGTTCACCCCAGCGAATCATGACCATGATCGAAGGCCGACTCGATCTCGATTTAGGCAGTTTTATTCGAACAATCAGAAACCCTTAGGTTCTCGCTCTTATGTCTGCTGCCTTCTGTCGGACTCTCACTCGCCGACCTCGCCTTGAAGTATTGCCTTCGAAAGACTGTCGGACCATGCCATAATTTATTTTTACGCTTATTTTTACGCTTTCGTGCTGAATCCAGGGGTATGTGGAAAATCAACCGTAGAAATCGAATGACAGATCCGCCTCGCGAACGATTGCACCTGGAGACTTTGCCGTTTTACAACCCAGTGATGCGATTCAGATATTCCGAAACTCCGCAGTTTCTGAACTATGAGGCTCGTAAGCGGACAGGATTTCGATGCTTGAAGGACGAAATACATCGCATTGGTCAGCAAAGCCTGCGACAAAGACGTTTTCACGCCAAAATGTCAATCCTATCGTATCTGCGGCTAATTATTCGTAAAGAAGTTCCTCCCTCTGATAATGGTGCCTCACATCGAGACAACAGATATAGGCTGGCATCCTCAAAGACTCGAGGTCGAACGACTCGGAGTTCGGAAGCTCCCCCCATGTTTCCTCCGCCGGAACCAACTCCTTGAAGACGGATTGCGAATACCTTCATCCAGGAGCGACGACGCCCTCGGGAGAGGCTCCAGCTGCCTTGCGGATCAAGTGGATTCGAAGCGAATGGGAGGCTGCCTTTCACTATCGAAGGAAGTTTCCTGGAACGTGTCAGACGGCGCTGCATCAATACGTTCTTGCCAATCATGATAGCAAGATACGCCTTCGCAGAAAACCGCCAATCTTCGTCGTACGTATAAGACGAACAACGTTGCGAGTGACCGATGACTCGGCGGATGCTTGCCGGACAAAATGCGATTCGATATGATTTGAAACTCGTCGGGATCTGTTCCGTTACGTAACGCATATACCCCCGCTGATTGTCGCGACTTCAACCCGCTGTCATCAAAACGCATGTCTCGAATGGTGTCGACATTCTCGACGCTCTGGGCGTGGTTCGAAAGTCGATTCCGCGCCGAGTGACATCGTTGGGGGAACGCTGTCGAACGAGAACGGAGAATGCAAATCGTTTTACGCCTCCTGAATCGTCTCGGAGAAAGAGCACAGTGCCCCATCAGACACAACATGTCTGGAGAAGACGCATCGGTGAGACAAAAAACAGATCTTGTCAGAACGTTCGGATTTGGTTCGCCTTGGTCGGCGCCCAAGGGATCACGATCTCCTCAGACTGTTGTTGGCGCAATGAGGGCTGACTCCTCTCTGCAGTCGTTCGGAGTCATTCGCAGGAGTTTATAGATTCGAGCATTTTCAGCAATCTCAATGGACTGCCCAATCATTCCCTTCCTCCCGATGATCGTTCGGCTCAGAGAAAGTCTGAAACGCGGCGGAAACCTTGGCGGAAGCCCTGACGGTAATCATGACGGAAATCTTGACGGCAAGCCAGGATTTCCCGGGCCCGCCTCAGAGACCCTGAAGGAGCTTCGAGTCCTCCCCTCCCGAGCACGAGGATCCGCGAAGACGCTTCGTTCCGTTTTTGTATTGCTCCTTTCTCATATCTGCTCGAACGAATGTCGAACGACAAGTTGCAGGATCTGGCTCGGTCTCGCAAGCCGGCGGCTGTCAAAAGCAGGCTCGCAGGGCTGGACGCTTTTTCCTTGATTGAGTTGAAGTGGATTCTCGCCATGCTGGACGATTTGTTGGCTTGATGCTCAGATGCTCCAACTCCGCTTCAAGTGGGTTTCGCGGAGAATGCGCTCGATCCATGGGACGAAGGAAGGATGTCTCAATCGCGTGTCACCGCTCATGAATCTTTAATCGAGAAACGCGGTAGCCTGTCGGGGAGAGATTCAAAGCGCCCCGGGAGCCTTGCAAACGTTCCATCGACGTCGATGTATGAATCGATGGGAACCTTAGAATGCCACTGTCCTCCAAGACATTCTTTTTGGGGAGAATGAAACCTGTTCTCGGGATAACACTGATTTATAGTCTTTATCAGAACATCGATCTTCGGAAGACTTTCATCACCAGCTTTGCACGACTCTCGGCGAACGCAGATAATGAAAACGATTGGCTCTTCAAACAAAAGATGCGCCATCATAGCTTCTGACACCGTAACGTGAGCACGTCGCGATTCGAATTTCCTTCCCCGAATATTCTCCCGCATGTGCGAGAAATCGGAGCGCTCGATCAGGGTAGCGGGAGTACGGATAGTTCAGCTAACGCCGACGGAGATCCCGCAGTATTTTCTGAATATCAAGTAGATAGGACCTCCACGTCCGAAATCAGCTTCCACGAGAGTTTACAGGGCCGAGAACTTTCGTTGGCTTGGGGAGGATTCTCATCGAGACCACGCAGGAGGAATGATGCTGTTCTGTCAAATTTTATAAACAATGCATTTTATTAATAAATACAGGATTGTACACGTTCTAGCTAGATGTGAGAGCGTTACGGGTCATCGAGTATCATGGACAGTTCTCCCGTAACTCCCACAGTGGCGGTTACCACGCCTGCTCTTGTAGCCTTCGGACTCACTGCTAAAGAAGCGACGAGGAGGAATTATTGAGGAGAAGTGGAAAGTAATTAACTATATGTAGGTAGTCTATGGATTCGATCAGGGTAAATGCGACAGGTAGCTTTCAAACCTTAACGAGATACGGTCTAATTAACCCTGAACTACGGTGATCTTTCTTCTAGAACCGAGTTCTTTTCGGTCCCGGACGGACAACACCATAGATCCGCCCTAAAGAACGCTCTGTTCTGAGTGCGTCGTCGAGAAGAGTATTGTATGAGCAGAATTTCGAACCTGGCTAGATCACATTGAATATTTTTGCCCTCCTATGTTCACACCGATTGGACGTCAATCTCGAGCCAATAAGAAGGGAATGTCACCCACCGGCCGACTCGAGATATCCTAATGAGATGGCAATCAAGTATCGACAAGCGGAAAATCCGCCTACACAGTAGAGAACTCGTTGAGCGTGACAGAGACAATGCGATTCACAATCAGCTGCGTTTCCTCATGGTCGCTCCATCGTGCGATTAGCCACAGATCAGCGACCCTTGCCCCCTACCTCGAGGGGAGAATTATTCCTTCCCAGCAAACTCCAATTATTGAGCTGAATGATGCGAATTCCCCCATCTTGAGTCGCGTTCCCTGCCGGATATCGTATCGGAATGCGGATGCTCCAGTAGAGGAAATTTCCGTGCTTTGACCCGAGAGCGTCGGATCTTCTATTGTCATTGAATTCGAATGAAGCACCTAACCTGGAGACACCCACAGCCGACTCTGCACACGGCTGGCACTGAACGGCAGCGCGCAACGCATGCAGCTCATGGGGGAGGAATCTGGGTACCTGATGTCCCATGAAGACGCCATTTACAAGTACAAAATCCAAGCATCGACGTGTAATCAAATATTCGCTGACAAGTCGCTTGTTTTCAGGTAGTAGTCTTATCGAGAGTGTTCGCTGCCTGCTCGTCAGGTCCGAAGAAAGACTCTTACAACGATGATATTTCTTGGATGGATTCAGCCCAACTTGACTAGTCCCTCGCAACGGATGCCCTCGCTCGACAGCGGAAGGAACAAGCTGGTACGGCTAAAAGAATGTCCTACACTATATTCCATATTCTAGTCGTGTGGGTAGACCGAGGTCGAGGTGGGTAAATATTAAATATGATAGCTGCAGTGGTAACGGATCTCAGTTGACGCCTGTACGGAAACGGCAGCGTTTTCGGCAATCAATAATAACATCCGGAAGGGACCGGACAGCCGTTCCGTTATTGCATATTTTTGAAATTCCAAATACTATAAGGTGAATCCACTTCGCGGAAAAGGCACGGGCTCCCTAGTGATTCCGAGAAGATCACGCAGAATAGAGGAAGCTAGGGAATAATGCGAAGAATAATTTCCGAGAGGAAGAACATGTGGTCCGCTTGGGATCCACCGCTGAAATCCATCTCGTTGTGCCGATTCGAGTCGCTGCCTATAATAAACAGCTACTCAGCCTCTCAGTCGAGTAATTTCGGAAATCGTGTTGCCCTCCGCTAAGGATAACCTTATCATTTCTTTGGAAGTGTCAGCACCAGGTATCTTTCGACTTGCCTCGCAATAATTTTGAATACCATAATAACCTTTATAATAACGTTAATAATCAATCTTATAGGATCATTAACGACGATTGATGTAGAGTACGAGAGAAATTATTCAACCCTCATGGTAGTCATTTGATTTGTTCTTTCCCGAGGTTGTTCCACATGCTCGCCCGCCGGGATCAGCGGATCCAATCGATTAGTTGGTCGAATCGCTCCCGAACAATACGGGAGAAACTTCAAACGTTTTGACGATCTGAGATTTTTCAGACGATCCTGACAACTATATCCATTCGACGTTCATTGGTTTGTTCGCAGGTTCTATGCCATACATTCGAACCAGTATCGGGAGTCCATGGGCCCCTATATCAAAATTATTTGGCGGAGTCGTCGATGGCACAACGAGCTGATGGGGACTCACCACGGCAGCGGCCGCAGCGGGGTTATCTATTGCGGGAGTCATGCTGCCAGACTGGAACGTATGGCGGCTACCCGATGCCGAACCCGAGGCGCTGCTCCGTCGCTGTTGCATTTGGTTGTCGTCGGCTGCGGACGGCTCGACAACAATGACCGCCGGGGTCGGTTGATTATTTATCATTGGCAATTGCTCAAGATGAGTGCTATTTATCGAATTCCGCGGAGAGGGGACCTTCGAACTGGCACAGCTCGGGATCGGTGATAATCCAGGCGTTGGTAAGCTATGAGAAGCCATAAGATTGATGAGCGCGCTACCTGATTGGCTACTGCTGCTGCTACCGCCACCCCCGCCATTTATGTTATACGTGCTAGTCGTTGCGACGCTACTGCTGTTGTCGTCCTCATCGTCGTTGATGTTATTGTTATCGTCGTCATTATGATTATTGTTTTTATCGTCGTCTCGGTTGTTACCACGCACGCCGCCGCCGCCGGCGTCATCGTCGTCATCGTCATCTATGAACTCATGCATGGCTTCGTGAAGAGCAGATGACAACGGCTTTGATAGCGACTCCTCATCGGGGTGCTGCCCGAAGGATTCACTGTGGTCCAGTGGCCTCCGTCGCGCGAGAGAATGCTGAGATTGACACAGCAGAGAAGCGGGCGGTGCGCTGAACGTTCTCGACGCGGATTTTTTGTCGCCTTTACCTCTGTGATGTAGATGAGTTTCCGCCGAGAAAGCGAGTTTCAATTTGGATCGACTGAAGTTTTTGAGTTTCTTCGAGAAACGATTCCTCATTGACAGCGCAGCCTCGGAACGCGAAGTGCCCGCGTGGTGCAGGTCGTTGTCAGAAGAACCCGAAGATAAGTTCTGGTCGAGATTCTGTTGCTCGTGCTGCCTGGACTGCTGCTCTTGATCATGATGATGCTGCTGCTGCTGTGGATGATGATGATGGTGGCGATGGTGGTGATGATGCGATCGAAGCTCGTAGCTTGTCTGGCTGCTTACAGATTCTTCTGAGCGACTACGCGAGAAGGCTGCCCGTGCATTGCGAGTGGCCTCCACGAGATGTCCCCAGCGGCTCCTACGCAATTTACTCTTCTTGCTCGCGAGTCGGGCGAGGCGGGCCAACCGAGAGCCAGGTGGCTTCCGCGACGTAACTATTTCTTCAACGTTTATTTCCGGGGGGCTCGGAACCGAACTGTCGATCAGGCCGATGTTGAATCCTTTCATGAGTCTCCTTTCGCGCTGTCGACCTCTCTTACCTCCTCCTAAACCTCCAGCCGCACCTGAAAATGAGCAATCGTCTGAGCCGTTGCTCCGTGCGGCAAAAAAAAACAGCTGAACGCTGGAGAGAAAACCGGGAAACTAAATAGGTGGGTGGAGACGCCGGAGTCTATACCGGGAGAATTTCCTCGGGGGAGATTCCTTGAGAAATGCTCCGAATTCTCTTGAAGAAAGATACCAGCCGCGCAAGGATCGCGGCGTCTACTGACAAAGGATGCCAAGCGAAACTCACCCGTGGTTCGAGTGGTGTCGAACCCGCTTGTACGCAAAACCTCTAACAATTCATATCTGAACGATGAGATTTCTTGCTTGATTTCGTTCACGTCGTCTTCGGTCACCCCTTGGTTGTCCGCACGTCGCTGCTCGCTCGTCACGTATCTGCGACGAGAAGATGTCATTGAGAGCGGAGAAGCATTGCTTGATCGATCAGTCGGCATGCAGCCCATACAGCCGAACTTGCCTCTTGACCAAATCGCGCATTATGCTCTGATACTTGAGATCACGTTCGCTCGCCTGGCGAGCCTTCCGCCGTATCGTCTTAAGGTGCTCCTTCTTGGCGCTCCTTGAGTGTCCACAGAATTTTCGCCAGATCCATGAGCACAGATATCCAAGACTTTTAGGTGTTGGAATAATGTTGAACGGAGGTGGCACGGTCCCTCCGTCTTCAAAATAGCTCATCCATAGCTTACAACGCGCGAATTTCCATTCGACATCCGCGTGTTCCTAAATGATTCCATATTCACAATCAGAGTCGTTTCGCCGCTCGAGAGGCGAGCCGATTCGATAGGAGATCTGAAGGCATTTCGATCGAGGTCAATACTCACAGAGATCATTTGATATGAGTGGTTCATCATAGCAATAAGCAGATTCAGCAGCACAACTACGTTGATCGCGCAATAACAGCCAAACATTAAAAGGCCCCAAAAGCGAGTATAACTCTGAATTCCTACAAGTTCGAAATTGTCCAAGTCGATAAGACCAAAACTGGCCCAAAATAGCGTTTGAGATGATTCGAAGAGGCTGCAAAATAGAGTTATCGATTATTATCATCGACGGGTCTTCGCGCCCGCATCAGCGCTGCCGCTCTATAATTAGAAACATTCTCTCTATATCCCCCGCTCTAGCTGGGTGTACTCACTTGGAGAAGCGCCTCCAAGTAAAACACACACTGTGTTCGCTTTTACCGCTAGTGGGATTGGAGTTGTTTGCCGATAGGGTTTGGCACAGCTGACGTTCGTTGTCAGCATAGTACCTGGAAAGAGAGAAACACCCGAATGTCGAGGATGGATTTCGCAGAACTCCAGGGTTCCGGAACGACTTCGTCCGAAACACGAGCGGAAAACATTCCATCTCGGTGACAGCACCACCGACCGAATCGGACGGAATTTCGTTCTGTCAAAACATCGACTCATGTAATGGATCGGAGAGAGAACGGTACATGGATGTCCGAGATTCCGGGCATCGATGGGATAATCTTCATTTAGATCGTGGGAAACTCTCGATGTTATTCATTTGCATTAATGAATCTTGTCGCTCAAGATAGACGTTGATTGAATTTCAGGCAGAGATTGATTACCAGAGGAGTTGGTTCATCCCACATGCGAACGCGAAGAGAACTAGCGTGTAGACGAAGAAGAATTTCACAATATCGATAACCATGCGACCAAGAGAGATCTGTAGAGGACCCAAGTGAGGATTTACAGAAAAGATGTAAACGAGTCTCAGGGAGCTGAAGATGTTGGCGGTTGCGAAGAGTCCTTCGGCTATTAGGATCGGATCCCAAGCGTCCCATTTTTCACGAGGCAGGTAGGCCGTTCCTGTGTTCAAGGCGATTTCTTTTTGTACCTGTGGACGCCAGGAAACGGAAGCTTTCCTTAGACTCGAAATTCTTCATAACGAATTCCCTCACTCCCGCTCCCCACCCCCATAGCCGCTGATTTACCTGCATGTAGGCTATGATACGCAGCGCTACGGTCGACACGTAAAGAGAGTTCGTGACGAAATCTATGATGTTCCACATGTCACTGACGTATCCCATGAGGCCTAGATCCCACAATTGTTTCATTTCACTCCATATGAGGCCTGGAGTGGACAAAATCGCCCGGGATGAATAATTTCCTCGAAGATTGAGATCGTGCCGCTGGATCGAAAGCTGGACGTAGCTTCGAGTACTCTATAGATTACCTGCCACCCAAGTCAAGATGATCCATTCGACAATCGAGGGCGGAGCGCCTCTCTTCGTGGTTATGTCACTTCTTATTTCTTTCTTCATCTCCTCTGTGCCGAACCATTCTACCATAACAGTTTCTATTCGTTGTGAAGCGAGTATCAGTAGAACTGGAAAATGAAAATGATGGAGTGCCGCCTGGAGTGTCGTGACGTCAGCGGTCAATTCGCCGAATTTTATCCGCTAGAATACTCACATAGGAAACTGATATAAGAAGCAGAATGACAAATAAACTTGATGAATGGCTTCCGCAGGGTTCTTCCGAGCTCAGAGTGCGGAGCCATGATATAGGCCACAGAGTAAATTGGGAACAGAAGACCGATCCGTAGGATTTCGAACATTTGCAGAACAATATTCTTCCTCCGGAAGCCCGGGAGTCCTTCGTACCAGATGGACGCCAGTAATTGTTGCACGTTTGGGTGAGCACAGAACTGTTCGAGAGGAATACACACGTGCGATAAGGCTTCTTCCCCATGAGGGAAAAGTCATGATTCTCTTCAGTGACGGAATCCCTGAGCCCCAGAACGAAATCGATGAATTACCTTTTTCTGCTTGTATTTAATAGCCATTTTCAATCGTGATAAATGCATCCGGTCTCCATGTTCGAATGCTGGTCCCGATGGGTCATAATTGAGCATAACTTCGAGCTCGTAGGACGTGCGCGTGTGATCGAGCAGAGCTGTCGCAAAGTCTTGGCATTTCCGGCGCACTTCCTGTACGAAACAAACTTCTCTGAACCTTTACCGATAAGCATATCAATGCCCAGATCGATGTTAGAAGATCAGGTCTCTATCTCCCCTCCCGATCCGCGCTCTCGAGACTCCGCGTGGTCGGATGAGGTCTTTTCTCTGATCAGAGATCACGGTATCTTCCGCAACCGACGCCCGAGGTTTCCACATCCGAATGAGAGCCGCTTGGAGCTCCGTATGCTCCTGATTCCTCGCCATGCAGTTCACAGCACAGTCGGATTCCGTACTCACCATGTATTCCGCCTTGAATTCATGCTCGAGGAAACTCAATCTCCGCGCTTCACCGCTCAGTTCGAACGCAGTGAGTATAGGGTCTTTACTCGATAGCGCGATCAGACTTGGAGATGAGAGAGCTTTGAAGGAATTTATTCTGGAGTGCGAATGCCGAAGACTGTCTTCATATCTGGGGATTGGAATTCGGTCTTGGAAAACCTGTCCATTGTTACCGAGTCGAAGAGCCGGAGGACATCTGAGGGAGGGGATTTCGCTACTCACCGAGACCGGACGCAGTCACTGCAGCCGCATCGCACTCCATGGGGGGCGGAGAATGTGTATCCCCGGTCGAGCAGTATTTTCAGTATCTCATAATTATCACGGTGCGCCGCCAAGATCAGCGGGGTGATATCAGGTGTGAATGTAGCGGTCTCTCTTCCGACTGCTTCCCAGCTCTGAGAGAACACGGCAGGAAGATCGATGTGACTCGTTAAAACATACTGAGGACGCTCCGTTCGTCCAGTTCTTAATATTAGGGCTACTCACATGTAGTTCACCAATCTTCTTGGTCGCTTCTTCGTGGTCAAGTAGGACTTCAACAGCCTCAACATACTCTTCGTGTATTGCATGTAGCAGCGCGTCCTTAGTTTCAACCTGAGATAATCACGAGATCTTTTCTGATCGCCTGTCTGCTCGCAACGAGGGATGGAGACAGTAGAAGGCCGTCTCGACTACCAGAGAGACCGAACTAACAATTTTTGTTGCCACCGTATGTTTTCGGCTAATAGGCGCGGGGCGTGAAAAATGCGTCTAAGGATAGACTCCCGGGAGAAAGTTCACCTTGTAATGGAGTAACAATTCTATCATCTCAAGATTCTCATTGTCGATGGCCATAAGCAGAGCAGACCTGCCCAACGGGTCCGTACAGTTAATATTCAGCAGCGATGGCTTAGTCTCGGCGATAATACTGGAACAGAAAACTAGACTTTAGGCTCTTTGGATCGTCGTCTTTACGAACGCTGCGTCCGAGCTCTGCTCTAGCTCCAACGATTTATCCCCGATTTCGGGCGAGAAGACGCGGAAAGTAGACTCACGCTTTCGATCCTGCGAGGTCACCCCGTTCAACGGCTAGCAGGAACTTCTTCTCCGGAATAGTGAGCACGCCTTCTTGCCGAGGCATGGTAGTTTCAGTCGACACTACAGAATCGCGGAGCGAGTCGGTCAGTCCTTCGGGCGAAATAATCATGTTTTAGGGAAAGGGGGAACTGTGGCGCGGAAGAGAGATGCTCGGAAATTACGCGTGCGGAACTTCCACGCGTCGCCCACGAAGGAGCCCAAGTGGGCGCCCTCGACCGAGCGAATAGACCAGATTTCCGAAGCGGGTGGAGCGTCTTACCTGGAGCGTTGAGGTCAAATGTTGCAACTTTCTCTCTGCGAGGCGAAGTGATGCTCCCGCGTGGGGATAGAGCCAGGGATGTCGAGGAAGCTCTCTGACTGACATCCATAATGTGGAGACCCGAACCAGCGAAATCCCTGCCGTACTCCCGGGGCGGCGGATTATCGTTGAGAAATCTCTGTAGTGGTGTTGCTGACGCTGCGGGCGCATTCCCGGCATCCAATGAAAACAAGGTATTTGAGTTCGGAGTGCGGTGCGTTGGGAAGTACGGTGGTCGGTCGGAAGAAGGTCCGAGACCTTTTTCTAACTCGTCCGCCATGATTTAGCTGCGCTTAGCCGACAGGATTCCGTTGATCTGCCTCAAGAGACAACAATGAAAACCTGACTTGGCCTGAAATTCCGCGAGGAAGTCAGTTTGAGGAAGAGAGAATGACGAGTATCTTCTATGCCATCCTACTGATGAATTCATTGTTCATCTGGTTTAAGTCTTGGACGGCGAATCAGAGAAAAGGAATAAGGATCGGGAGCTTTCTTTTCGTATTCCGGGCTCACCCTCTGGCTCTCCAATCCGATTCGTTTATCGAAAGTTTTCTCCGCTCGCCTGACGTCAGTGTGCGATGAAGGTGTGTTTTCGCCAGTCACGATAGAAGACTTCTTCGAGACACGTTTGCCTTTTTGGAAAGAAAGGCTGGGAATTCGAACCCGTAACGAACTTTTGATGATGGGTTCGAATTTGAGTTCAAATATAATGAAGCATTTCTGTGTCTGTCTTATCTCGAATCCGATTCGCATTTCCCGGAAGCGCTTCGGGAACATCATCGGTAGTATGTCCTGAGGAAGAGGAAGAATTCACGATCAGTCTCGCTTGTTTCGGTGTCAACGGAGCACAGCTGTATGAAAGCGAATTTTCCCGAGTTCCTATCATGCGACGACCAGTGGACATGGGAAGGGGGACGTCATTCGCGCTCCCGAGAAACCGGAACTCTCTCGCGGGATAGCTGCTCGGATGCGGGTCGGGAATTCTCTTCTCTCTTCTCCTCACACGTTCTACTTGAGAGCTCGGACGGATATGAGAAATTGTTCCCTCGAAGGAGGAGGAAGCGGAGTACGCGAGCACTGTTAATGCACATGCATTGACTCGCCATCGCCTTGTCAAACTTCCACGATTCGGAAATTTCCTTGCGCGTCTGAGCCCACGTCTCACGACTCTCCGGAAGCGGTCGGCAAGCATGCTATTCTTTGATCGGAGGCTGAAGCCGTTCTCCGCAGTTGCATGGACCAGGCTGTGTCATACGTGTTCGGGATTACGATTCGCTCTTGAATAATTGCCTCGCGTATTTCCCCGGAGAGCCAAGCGCAGGCTCTAGCGCGACGCACTCAAAGGGACCGACAACGAACACGAGAACACAAAAGATAACAATTGGGTTGGTGCGGCTCAGGAGCTTGCGAGATTCATTTGTCTCCTGTTAGCTGACTTCCCAGCAGGTCTCGTTCCTGTGTCGAGTGCAGGATACATACTGATCGGCTTAGTTTCAAGGAGCGATTGTCCGACAAAGTTGATAGCTCGCGTCTCCCGAAAGTGTTTTAATCTACAGAGCAAGTATCGGAATACACGTCGAGATTGTCGAGGGGGTGGTGATGGTACGTCGAGCACAACCGGAGGGCATCAAAACGCCTCTTCGTAGCATCGATTCAGATCCCACGGGAGGCTGGTGGAATGTTGCCCCTTGCTACTCGAAACGTTAGAATCCCGCTGGAACTATTGGATTTTCGCTGACATATCACGATTAGATATCGACGCTGTCGGAGTCTGACGTTGTGAGAACGAGGGCTCGCATGTAGCCGAGCAGAAAAGAATCCCCCCTCTTCACCAACCCATGAATGACTTCGAATCGAGGAAATTCTGGATCCGGAGCAGGCTCTCAAAGACTGGATCTGACTGCGGGTTGAACCCCCCCAACGGAGAATCCGACAGAAGTGACTATGAGCGACTCCCGCCGAAAATATTCACCGAAAATTCATGCCGAGAGCTCTGGCCACGGCTTGAATACCACTACCCGCCTAATGACCTCAGCATGTGCTCTCTTATAAGGAACTACATACAAGGAGCCTCAGATATTGCTGAGTCAAGGAGACACACGGGGCGAATTTTTGTAGCGAGTGCCGCTTTATGCTCAGTAGGCGAGAGTAATTTCCTCTCTTGAGACAATGAGACGTAAGACTGAGTGCTACTGCCGCTAAGTGCTGCGAGGAATGCGGGTCCCAGCGGAGGTTCATTGAAAGCCTTTCCTGGAGTAGCTTCTGGGTTTCAACGCCTGGCGTTCAAAGATGTCGAATGGATCAGATCCCCTCACTGCCTAATGAGCCCGTCACACAGGTACTTCGCTCTGAGAATAATTGCGATTGGGATCCGTGTGCAGAGGTGGTGCTATGTATCAGGCCTGTCCCGAGCCTCTGAGCTTGTAGCGTCAAAGGAGAACTTCTAATTGATCAGGACGTTTCTGGAGTCGGACGCCCGTCACCGGTTCTACTGGAGCATATATTGCCTCGGCGGGAGTGATCGCTGTGAAATCGTTCGAAAAAGGTATCGGAAACCCACTCCGCTTTGAATATACGAGGAGAGGACTTCGTCTCGGTATGGAGACAGATGTCTTGACTTATCAAAGAACTGACGAGCTGCTCTAAATGGAAAATCCCATCTAGTTCGAGAATGGGTAAAAAATGAGGTCAAGCTCGGGTCGCTTCTCAGAATCGGCTGTCAATCAAACTTCACTCATCGAAGAAGCTCTCTCGCCTCCGTTTCAACCAAGAGCATTAGAATATTCCAGAAGCTCCTTTTCCCGTTCGGTTCATAATTCAGCAAATCGTCGACTCAGAGATCAAATTTCCGAACATGACCTTCTGATGACCATCGAGCCAATATCGTCGCCCGACAACTGCCAAGTTCCCGAAGGCTCGACGCCTCAGCTCGAAAATTCGAATCCGAGAGTGGGAGCTTCTTGAGCATCCCTTTGTGGTTTTGTTGTCCCGGAAAAGCAGTCAGTCCTAGTGCAAACATTGGACAGACTCGAGTGACAGCACATCGAATCAACGACAAAGCCGTCGGCAAGACTTTCGGAGGCGCTAGCCTGCGTGACGCACGCAATCTTTGGGAATCCAAATCAAAGGAACAACCGAAGCGCAGCGGAAGGACGAAGAATTATCTCAGACAGACTCTTCGTATCTCAAAATTATCCTCGAGGTAATGTCCGGAACTGATGGCATTGGACAGCTTCGAAAGATGTCCCGACCGCTTCCGCGGATTTCTTCATACGGGAGCTCAACTCCGGGAGCTCAACTCCGGGAGCAGTACGCCCGGGAAGCGACTGATTATAGAGAGGGTCAGAGAGGGATAAACTATTGAGGCGGCGCGTATTATCATCTGTTGTATTCGCCCCTTCTTGGCTTCATTCTCCTCAGCTACCGAGCGACTCGCAGTATTCTCCCGGAATGCGTCGACGGGAAAACTAAAACTGAATCGAAGCGAAAAATCCCGGCATCTCGACCGGATCGAGTTCTTCTTTCCACGAGGGATTCCCTCGACATGTTTGACCGGGGCGCGTCAAACCACCGAGATTCCCACGATTCGTATCCGAAAGAAGTTGGTACTAGTTCTGCCAGATGGGGCTCTGAAGCAAACCGTATATCCACGGAGAGAAATCACTGATTGCGAGAGATTCGCCGAGGCTCACATAGTGAATCAGCCTGAGTGCTTGCCCATCCGATGTAAATTTATCCCGGACTCAGCACCGCAGTCTCTGGCTGTGGCGAGGCCAAGGGAGGCGTTGTTCTCTGCGGATTATCCGCATAGGAATCATAAACACCGCCATAGACTTCTGGTAGAATCTCATGCAGTCATCTCACCGCGGTGTTTTCTCCTCAACACGGCAGATGGACGATTCGTCGATGAGATGTGTTTGTTTACCGAATCATCGCGACCTGATCGTTTCCCGATCGCGGGCGAGAGGGAGGGCGACTGCTGGAGAAGCGGGATTCTTAGATGGGTGGATGACCAGCGGGAACGGATACAGGCTTCGAGCGAAGACCGCGCTCGGATCGAGGGTGGAAAGAGACATCTGTCTCCCAGGGGCTGGATAAGAGAATTATTGGTAGGCGTGAATGTTCTTGCTTCCGCTTCGTCAAACTGTATGACGGCCAGCAGAGTCTGGCCCTCCTCGCCGATCCATCCTGGGCGTGGGAAAATCGCCCTGCTTCCATCAAACGTCAGTCACCTGTGCGATCAGAGGGAAGAGAGAAACTGACACCCTTCCGGATTCGAGACATTATCGCTCCGACCTCGGCGCATCTCTTATATCGACATTATCGCCTAAGCTTCAGATTAAATTCAAAGGTTGAATGAGCTCGGGTTCGAAGGAATCCAGGCTAGGCGATATCCGGGAGCTGCTCGAGAAGGAAGAGGACTCGAACTCCTTGGGAACAGTGGACTTTAATATCGTGACAGCGAGGGTCCACTCTGGGGGATGGCTTCCGAAGAAATTCACCCGCTGGATTCTCTTCAATAATGTCCCGAGTCCGTATGATTCGGACGAGGGATAACACGATCCGGGACGGAAAGACCCCTCGAAAACGTGGGGTGGTCCGCATACGAAGGAAATAATTCTGACTAACCTTCGAATTCACCGGAAAACAGTGGTCAAATGCATGTCTGAACTGCCGGAAGCCGAGGACGGATCTCACCCCGGATTTGCTCGAAGAGGACGACGCCGACTCCGACTCCGTTTCAACACAGTGACTAAATTTATTTTCCCCTAGAAACCGAGCCCTGCTCTTCTACACACGACGCAGACACACTGGCGCTGTCGCACGCCTGCGCGCACGTACACAAGTCGACTAACATGAAAATACCATAAGAGAGGATATTACGCTACGCCGAGCAGAAGCTGGGATTCATCGATTGTCGATCCCGTCTACCGCTCTTCGAGTCCAACAAAACAAAGAATTTCTCAATCAATCTCGAAACAAGCATTCAGAAAAATTCTCCATCACTTAGTCGGTGGGTCTTGTAGATTCGCCAGGGAGCATCATGGAACGAAGTATTTAAAACATGTCTGTAACCGGGAAGAAGATTCGCCTAGCATTGGGAATCGATACGCAAGAACAGCCCGCCTGAGAGGACATCGTGGAAGCGCTGAGCACAATTCTCCGGCTGCTGACTCCGATCGCGTGTTCTCGGGGAATTCGAAATGATTGTCTGAGGAAATTCGCGTTTGGACACTCATTTACCCTGAAATTGCTCCAGCACGCCCGAATTCCGATTTC